TGCCAATCCCCCCCTGGTCTGGCTGGTATTCTTTGCAAGAAATTGTAGTCTAAACATTCCAACACTTTTATAATGCATTTGTCAAAATTTGTTTGTGTCATGATATCAAAAACTGCTGTGGAAAGTGTAGCGATCGCGTATAATACTGTACAGTCAAAACAAACTTTGCGTAAGTCGTGGGCAATCCTAGTAGCCAAGCGACCCCTAACCCTTTTCATGATTGACCACGATAAAATGATAGTCATCTGCGCAACTATTCATTTGCATATGAAAGTACCCAGATCTGGTAAGAAATCTTACCAGTGAATTTCAGCACCGGACAGTCGGTCGTGCCTAACGGTACACATTCTTCCTGTACAGGTGTTCACAATTTATTCACGCCTATTACGTTTATACACAATATTTATTAATAATAAATATTAGATACGATCGACTGTCGACAGTCTATCTCCCTGCTTCAACAACCTAATACACTATCATAAATACATACATTATATCGAAACCTTTTTTTCGACTAATCATGTACACTATAGATAGGGGCAGTAAAGGTATGCTTTGCTTTTGTGTATTTCGTGTTTTCAGATGCTCCCACACAAACACACACACAGACTTAGCAAGCATTATTATTGTTTTGTTCAAATAATAACTGTTACAATGTTTAATTACCTGGTATTGTTGTATAGCTATCTTCAGTTGTCATCTCTGCTGCAGTATGGGGTGTTGTTTTATCTTTTGTAATAATGGGCTGAGTTTCTGTTGAAATTACACTACTTGTTGGTTGAGATGTCGTTGAAATTACTTTACTTGTTGGTTGAGATGTCGTTGAAATTACTTTACTTGTTGGTTGAGATGTCGTTGAAATTACTTTACTTGTTGGTTGAGATGTCGTTGAAATTACTTTACTTGTTGGTTGAGATGTCGTTGAAATTACTTCACTTGTGGGTTGGAATGTCGTTTTTTGAGTCATCGTGGGTGGTTCTGTTGTTTTTTCAGTCGTATAGACATTATAGGTTGGTTCAAATGTAGTCACTGCAGTAAATGTTTCTGTTATTTCTTCAGTCGTTATTTCAGTGGTTAATGGTTCAATAGTTGTCAATACTGGTGGGACTAATCAAGAAAGAAATTATTTGAAGAATGTCATAATCAACACCCAACAAAATTTTGAGCATTCCTGAGTACAACTCATATGATATGCGTATATAATAAAGCTACCATAGATTTCAAGATAAGCGCCCAGGGTCCTGAACATAGACATTTACCAAAAAATAGGGGTGGGTGTATGCTCGGACATCCCCTGCAAAAAAAAAGGAAATTCGCGAAAATTGACAACACGCAGATCGAACTGCGGTAGGGAATAGAATGGCAAATGAAAATATGCAACAGAAATAAATGAACAATATGCAACACTAGAAGTATAACAAAAATAGTTTATAATGTGACAAATGAACCAGAAATAATAAAAATCAACAGTGAGGAATCATTTGAATTAGGATTTCCTTGCCGACAAACACGTACAATATGTGTGAACTCAAAAAGAACTAAAATGTCAGGGGTTAAACTGCATACAATTATTTCCAGTTTCAACAGTCATACCCGATCAATAATAATTTAAAAGTTTACACAGTAAATTGAATTGTGGATTTGGTGTTATTTACTTGAAATGTTCAATTCCAATTCCAACTGTTTTTTTGCCCACAAAACAATCCTTGTTTATTGTTTCATTATAATAACTGCAACAATGAAATAACTGTGACACAAATTCAATTGAAGATGAAGAACATTTTCTATTGAATTGTCTAAAATATAACACACACAGGGAAAACTTTGAATCAAGTACCAAAAACAGGCAATTTTACGATGTCAGTTAAAAGTGACCTGCAATTGAATGTTCGCAAAAAAATGTGTGGTCACATTTTCAGCACACTAAACAAAATCCAAAACTAGAAGAGTAAGCAGCGCACAAAATCAGCAATGTTACACAAATCAACATTTGTAGTCATTTGGAGGTAAAACATTGTCTGCATTGTATTTCTTTAAAAAGTCTTGGTTTCACATTGTAAAGCAACAAAACTACATTTTCTACATAATTTACCAGAATCATCTTGTAATTTGATATGAATAACATTTCAAAACAATATTTATATGAGAGTTATGCCAATGTTATCATGTCTTTAAAATTTGTCATTTTCCTAACTTATACAGGCTGAAAATTTCAAATCAAATGAACAAAAACTTTTGGGGCTGTTCAGATTTGAGATTACTTCACCAACTGTAAATAATCACAAGAAGATAATTTGTAGATTAAATACATAGTCTGACATTTTAACAATGTGTAGCAAAGACTATCTAGATGGTACAGAATGTCCATGAATCTGCAGCTATAAGACCACACTTGTTTACGATTTGCTTTGTTTACTTGTTGGCAAGAACTGGTTGTTGCACCAAAGATAGAATAATCGTTCGCTGCTGTTGCTATTAAGCATACATGTATGTGACTCCTGTTAATAAAACACTTGTGTTAAATATTGTTATAGTAGATCATGACATAGAGCTAATCAGTGATATATATTTGTCTATCAGGCGTTTACGTGCTAGTTGTGAACAAATGACATCACAGTGTGATGGCCTAGTTCTAAGTGCAATATTTTGTCACCATTTTTACTAACTTGTAAATTGCTGCCTATCGCCCTCAACACATATATATTACTTACTTTTAGCAAATACTTGTAACTCACACACGCTTAGTGTCTGGTTTGAGCCTGGTACATAGATGCTGACATGGCCAGACCTAACAGGTGGATCACATTCAATAACAACGGTAGAGGGCGATGTCACTGTGATAGGTTCGCCACACGTTTCACCCACATCCGGAGCATATGTATTCCTTGCTGCCGTTTTTATAATCCCTCCTTCCATTGCCGGGACTGTAAAATAACCAACATAAATGATTATTACACTATCATATGACATATATCACAATAGTTGTGACTTTTACAGTAAAATATCATTAATGGTATAGTATGGTAAACATCACAATGATCACATTACCCTTGGAATAAATCAGTCACTAAAATCAGAATGGTGTGAATTTTTGGTACCCTTCAATTTGTATGAATATGAGGGAAATTGAGCTATATAATTGTGTTTTTACACTGACAGATAAGATAAGATAAGATAAGATAAGATAAGATAAGATAAGATAAGATAAGATAAGATAAGATAAGATAAGATAAGATAAGATAAGATAAGATAAGATAAGATAAGATAAGATAAGATAAGATAAGATAAGATTTTGGATCATTATTGCTCAAGTTGCATTTTGTTCCATAGTATTCTTTTCTGTTTAAATTCATCTTTGAGGCATGTTAGATTCCTCCAATTACTGAAATGTTGGAAATTATTCTTATCAATGGAAATAAATAAATACCAAACGAAATTTGCTAGGATCAAATGAAAATAGAATGGTGTGAAAATTGGTTTGGCCTATGTTGCAGTAATACATAATGTGTGCCATTTTACAAGCACAATAAATTATTGTATACTAGTATTCAATATCGCCTTACCTGTAACTACAATATAATATATATACTCGCGTGGTCTCAAACGCACATCTAACTTCAACCAGGGGTTGTCTTCCACTTTTGTTTGGGTACATGTTCCGGCATCCCAGTTTGTATTCGTATTGCCATCAGTAACTCTATCAGGATCACTGCCAAACACACGGGAACTTTGACCAGCAGGCTGTCCAGTGGAAATGTCATAAAGTTGTGACCCGGGAAAATCTGAATATATATATATATATATATCATTCAGATTATGCAGAAGAGAATATAATAAATTGTCTCACCAGAACGCTCATGAATTCAACTGTGTACATTATTACAAATGTTGTTGTTAATAAATCTTTATTTCCAGGTCATATTGATGAGGCAGGTTAAGATGTCCACTATATCTGGCATGTAGGCGGCATATATTGTATAGACAGAGGGATGGATGTGGGATTACAATGATCATCATCCAAGATCTGTCTAGCACTGGGAGAAATAGAGGGGCTTGTCAGTCTGTGATGTCTAATACATCAGCAACAGTGTTTCAGAGTGAGCACTGAGCACACTGATATCTGTTAATTCAACCCCACTATGACTTCATCATTATATGATCTGTACAAAATGGGAAAAATCTAATTACTTTGCATTTGTAACATCTATACTGAGCTACTGTGATTCATTTTTAATATCATAGAATCAGTTAGAAAAATTAAGCCTGTTGAAAATGTTGCAGTATGTCAACATCTCCTATGCACTAAGACAATTGATAATATATAACACATACTCTCGAAAGATTACTAAATGAGCAGCATATTAGATTCTGCATACCATATGTATCACTGTTTCTAAAAAAAATATGCACAGATGCGCTATTTATATAATATTTTTTCACGCTGTCATTATATAGCTACCGTGTTGAATTTTAAAGTTGAACACCAGTATGCAAAGCCGGCTTTAAGTGTGTACACATATTTCAAGGTCTAGTTTAGTTTAGTTTAGATCAGAGTCAAGCTTGAGACCACCACCTCTAGTGTGGCTTCATCTGTATATACTTTTATTTCAAAGTTTTTTTTCACCTATGTGTAAACATTATATATATATATATATAAGAAACCAAACATGTAGGCTTGGCTAGTTCCTTAAATTAGGTGAACCATAGAAGTAATGAACAATAAGGATGTCACAAAAAAAAATGTGTAAACGAACGCGTAATGTGCTAGTGAGACAACTAAAATCAGTATTGTGACATCATGACACATTAGTGTAGAGGTACCTTCATCACATTTTGGAAAGTCTCCACCAGTCCACTCGCCATTCATGCACACTAAGCTTGATGGGCCAATCATCGTGAATCCTTCATCACATGCGAATGTTATCACTGAACCATTGGATACAGGTAAACTTGGTGGGCTGATGTAGGTCATATTTGGCAGAGTGCTGAAATCTAGATCACATCCTTTGAAAAACAAGAAAGTGTTTGCATTATCGTAAGATGAATTATGTTAATGGCATCATGGTATGTACTATACTAATCACTCTGGAGTGGCAATGAGTTGTGGGTTCAAATCATGGCTAAGGCCAATACTGTATTCTTGGAAACACTGCTTCTTTTGTTCGGGAGAAAATAGAAATCACAACGTGCATAGAATTTTTTGTAAACAAACTTTTTATATTACAGGCATTGTACACAGTGACATGGATCCTGAATAACAGGACTTGGCGCAGCAATCATCGTCTTCCTATCCCCAAGTATATGGTATGTAATTTAAGATAAGATTATAATATAACTTTATTGACATTATTCTTTCTATAGAAGTTGAACATAGATAGTCAAGTAAAATAGAAAAAAAAAAAAGGATAATAAAATTTAAAATAACATAAAAGTATTAAGTAAAAAAAATAAAAATAACAAATTAGTTAAAGAGCAATTGTACGTTCCCTCAGGAGTTTTAACAGTTCAAAAGTTTCCTTCAATATATGTATAATGTTGTTGAGCGTGCCACTCTGCACTTGGACACCATATAACAAAAACAATGTCAGAAACAGGAAGTCTTTATCATAGTAAAGTAAAATCTCATTATATGACATGAGTTGTTGAAATTGTAGTGTAATAGTTCTGATGTTTTACCTGCTGATGGTACAGGATCTGAAATGTTTTTCAGTGCAGGTGTCCCTGGCTGTGATGGTAACGCTTCAGTAGTTACTGCAACAATAAACATATAAGTTGAATTCATGTGCAGTTTATTCATACAATAAATAAATAATAAACATCAATAATTGCACATTATGCAGGAAATATCAAACGCTATATGGTATATTTGATAATATGACATACAACATACAGAGTTGAAATACACCAATGTTTTGAATATGACACTGGTAATATTGCCAAAAATTATCATACATGTATAACCTTGCATCATTCCCCACAACCGATCCCCTCTGCCTATTCTTGGGGGTGGAGCTAAATCAAATAATTTAAGCTTTTTGTTGCCAAGACCTGCACCACTTTACCAGGTTTTTTCATGCCGTGGAATGCAGGTCGAAAGAGCCAGTGAAAAAAGCTAAAGTCTGGAAAACAGAACAAACTAAACTATGAGACAATCCTGAACAAACAAATTTATATGTGCTGCACATGTAGCTGTAATCTTGTTACACTTTTCACTTTTCGCCTCCAC